TTTAACATCAATTCTCTAAATGTGTATATCATATAGTTCCTCTAGATACCTTTAACACTACAAATCATTTCATAATTATAATTGTATTCATTTTACTCATGATTCAATCAATAATGTAACACCCCAACTCGAATAACCAAATTACCTATAGCTAGATTATTCGAGCCGGAGTAGTTACCATGATGGTAAATACGCATAATAATTTGAGGAATAATTTAAAACCAATTTAAACTTTAATATAAATGATAATTTCAAATATTAAATTCAGAGTAATGTTGAAACAGTACGGAAGCTTAAATATAAAACACAATTAAATTGTTTTACATTTTCTGGGTACTCGCCCAAAAAGGTATTTATTTAATTAAAGCATCATAAAGGTGGTCCACCAGTCCGTACATCTCATCACTCTCATTGACCTCCGGGATGGGCTCCATGATCAGTATTATTACCTGCGTGTAGCAAGTAAAACAAACTACACGCTCAACGTTAGCTGAGGAATACGCTAATACAACAATTCTTAGTTGAATAGCAAATAGACATACAATTATTCATGATATGACATAATATAGCATGTATGTTCAAGATGATGATAGTGATACATAAATGATGTCATACATAGTCATAATGATTGTACTTGATGATGAATTCATGCTGTATGATTCCAAGTCACAAGGACGACCCTTGAACTATGAGATTCGCCCATTTTGTACGACGAACTCACGCAGCCTTAGTCTCACAAAGGAGACTGGAAAAATAGGGTGGTAATCGCAAGCCTAAGTACCATGTACGTACACTAAGCCCGGTCCGTGATGTCGGACGGCTAAGTCCCGCACAATCACAACTATAAGAGACGCATGATCTCTTACGTATGCACATGATGTGATATGTTATGAACAATTTGTAAACAATATGTTGGGGAAATTAACGATAACTTGGATGAATCGAGAGTTGTGTAAACACTTTCAGATTGAATATTTTGGTTGTTCACTCCAAAATTCAATCGGATAAAACTCGAAAGTATCAAGAACGAAATATGAGAATTCCTATGAAAAATCCGAACTAAATTTCGACCATGCCCAGCGGGATTTTATAGACTAGGGGTGAGAAGGAGAAGACACCATTCTCGGCTATTACCCAAAGCACGCAATTCTTCGCGCGGAAGTTTCTTCTTCAAACTCAGTCCTATCCATCCGAATTTTTCTTTTAAAGAAAATTCGTAATTAAAATTCTAATTGAATTTTTTTAACATAGCACCGAGAGTTGTGTAAACACTTTCAGATTGAATATTTTGGTTGTTCACTCCAAAATTCAATCGGATAAAACTTGAAAGTATCAAGAACGAAATATGAGAATTGCTATGAAAAATCCGAACTAAATTTCGACCATGCCCAGCGGGATTTTATAGACTAGGGGTGAGAAGGAGAAGACACCATTCGCGGCTATTACCCAAAGCACGCAATTCTTCGCGCGGAAGTTTCTTCTTCAAATTCGGTCCTATCCATCCGAATTTTTCTTTTAAATAAAATTCGAAATTAAAATTCTAATTGAATTTTTTTAACATAGCACCCAGCCAGGGGCTCTGCCCCTTGGACCCCGCAGGGGCTGCCGCCCCTTGAACC